GAGTTAGGGACGATTGTTAGCCACCATGTGGGTGCTGGAATTCAAACCCAGGTCTTCTGCAAGAACACCCATGCTCTTAGCTGCTGAGCCATCTCTCCACTCCTTCCAGTGTTTCAAGGAGTGGGACATCATTTGCCAAGATACTTGATATCAGAAATGAATGGACTTTGTACTCTTGGAATGTGGCTTGTATTGGAAGATGCTGTTCAGAACAGATCTGTTAAGTGTACAATGTTGTACAGGAGTAAAGACCAAGTAAATTACAGTATTAAAATTTTTTTACTTTAAAAAACTAAATTTTTCTCAAAAACATAAATAGAAAGCTCATTTTTTACGTTTCTCTTGTTTTAAAAATATTTAATTTTTTTGATTTATTTTTATTTTATGTGTAGGAGTGTTTTGCTTGCATGTATGTAAGTGCACTGGTGTTGTGCAGTGCCCATGGAGACCAGAAGAGGGTGTAGGAGCGCCTGGAACCTGAGTTATGGGTGGTTGTTAGCTGCCATGTGGATTTTGGCAGCTGAACCTGGGCCCTCTGGAAGGGCAGCCAGTGTTCTTAACTGCTGAGCCATTTCTCCAACCTTATTTTATTATTTTTAAAATTACATGTATGTGTGTGTCTGGGTTTGTGCAAGTTCATGCAGTGCCTACAGAGACCAGAGAGGGCATTGGTAATTGTGAGCCATCTGACATGGGTGCTGGAATTGAACTTGGGTCTTCTCAAAGAACAGCAAGCACTCTTAACTGCTGAGTCATCTCTCCTGCAGCCCGTTTGGCCAATATTTTAATCTCTGCCTTTATTTTATTTCCCTTAATTCCTAATAATCAGAAATTGAGCTGTCAGCTGGTACAGGTGACTGGAGGCCTGTCAGCAAGTTCACATCTCAGTGCCAGTATGTGTGGAGAATGGGGGCCCGTCTCCTGTGAGACACAGAAGGATCAATAATTAGAACTCATCACTCCCTCTTTCAAATCATTTTAACTCCTGCTGGTATTGTCTTGTGTGCTTTTCCTTGTAGGGGTAAACTTTTTGAGAATAAGGACCAAATTTTTTGAAATGAGTCTACACAGTGTCTAATATTGTAGGTATTTAAAGCATTTAATGGCTGCTTTGGCAAGTGAATTGAGGTTTTCCTAGCACATTATTCCGAATCAATGGTTACTTCTAGATGTGTCCAAAAGAAGTTTCTGCAGGGTGAGTCAAGTCATTGACAGACAAGTGTGCTTTTCATTCTATTCATTTTTTTTCTGAATCTATTTAAAAGATTATTAAGAACAAAACTCTCCAACACAAAACTGGAAGTCTAGTGGATATTTTAATTCCCTTTAGTGCATTGAAGAAGCCCGTGGACACAGACAGACAAGCTTTGGTTGATTTTGCTATGTTGTTGTAACAATAAGCAACAATCCTATTCTTTTGATTCCAGACTGTCAACTAGTGTTTCCAGTGAATTATTTTTTTAACTTGCTACTCCTTAATTTTTTTGTTATAAAAAAATCCTAGTTAATTTGAATTATTGAGTGATATTACTGAAGTGGTTTGTCTGTCTCCAGCCTGGCCTACTCTCCCTTCAAGAATGGAGTGGGAAAACAAGGGTGACTGTCTGCTATATAGGAGTGACAGTGGGGTGGGAAAACTAGGTTTACTATATCTGCTCTATAGGAGTGACAGTGGGGTGGGAAAACTAGGTTTACTGTATCTGCTCTATAGGAGTGACAGTGGGGTGGGAAAACAAGGTTTACTGTATCTGCTCTATAGGAGTGACAGTGGGGTGGGAAAACAAGGGTAACTATCTGCTATATAGGAGTGACAGTGGGGTGGGAAAATAAGGGTATCTATCTGCTATATAGGAGTGACAGTGGGGTGGGAAAACAAGGGTGACTGTCTGCTATATAGGAGTGACAGTTTGAATGAGAAAGAACTCTTGAGGTCCTCAGTGGCAAGAAGATGCCAGCCTACCAATTAGAAGTGTTCTCACTTAAGTCTTCATGACAACTGAGACATTGGTTACAATTTGAAAGCTCTTGGGGATTTTTGGGGTGCCAGCTGAGAGAAAGGATTTCTGAGCTGATTATAGCTCTGTGGAGCTGCGGGGAGTAAAGGAGTGTTACCCAGATGGGTGGCATGGCATGCTTTATGTGCTCCTTTAGAACTGGCATGCAGTGTTTGGGGGACATGACACCCAGGTTTCTGGCCTGAATGGCAGTGCAGATTTTTAAATCACCAAGATGAATTTGGAGTAAGTGGGTATTTTCCTTTGGGGTCCTGGACTTCTCTTGGTAGCAGCTGCTTATAGATGCCCTGTGGCTGATGACAAACGATCGAGAGTTCTAGGCTGGAGGCACGAATTTAAACTTTGTTTTTCATTACCATTTGACTGCTAAGTATTTTGAGATTTCTGTGAGTGTGAAATGAGGTCACCTGTAAATAGGGCAGAGCACAGAGCCTGGTGCAAGGTGGTCAGGCTGTAACAGAGCGTTAGATTTCTGCTACATTTTGATAGCGTTAGATTTCTGCTACATTTGATAGGGTTTTCCTGTCCTTTGCATTTGTTTCCATTTTTCTTCCAAGTCTCATTTGTATTTTTCTTTTTTTAAAAAATATTTATTATTTTTATTTTTACGTGTATGAGTGTACTGCCTGCATGCATGTGAGTGTACCCATGTCGTGCAGTGCTGCGGAGGTCAGAGGAGTGCATCGGATTCCCCTGGAACTGGAGTTAAGGACGGTTCATAGCTGCCATGTGGGTGCTGGGAATCGAACCCGGGTCCCCTGCAAGAGCAGTCGGTGCTCTTAACCGCTGAGCCATCTCTCCAGCCCCTGCTTTTTTCTTACTGGAAATAGAAATAGAAATTATTTTTCCTTTTACACTATAGAAACCTAAAATGAAAATCTGTAATTCTTTCATCTTGATAAAACCACTATGACCATTGTAGCTATCAGAAGGTATATTTATTTATTTTTTCTTTTGGTTAGCATTGCTTGTTTTTAAAAAAAGATAACATGATTATATTGAAAAACTTGGTTGGAGAATTTGTAAGGGGCATACCAAACTCACATTACAGCAGCAGTGAGAATTTTGTAATACTGTTGAAGCTTGGGAGTACAGTTTTGTAGCCATGTTCTAGGTGGAACCCTTTCTAGTACTGTCCCAGTACTGTTCCTTCATTGGGTGACCCCGTAGAGCCCGTCTCGCTGTCCTGTTCTTTGCTAGCTTGTCTTCCTCATTTCTTGAGGAGTGACAAATTCCTGTTTCTTAACACTGTCTGACACTCCTGCAGGCACATCAGATTTGTCTTTTTCCTGTCTTCCAAGTCTTTTGTACATTGTACATGCACATTGCTTACTGTGGTGATCTTCAGAGTGTTCCCTGCAACGAGTCTCTCTCCACTGATATTTTCCCAAGAGGTGGTGGCCCTGACAGTTGCTGTTCACTCAAAGGGAATGTGGTCCTGTAAGTTTCTGTGATTCTCTTTTGTTGTAGTCCATCCAGTAGAGCTGAAGAAGTCTGTTCCTCACCTAGCACAGATGTTACTGAACACACAGCATGCCCCTATGTACTGTGATACACCTCAATTAGATGTAAAATCTCATACAGTGGGGAAAATAGTTAAAGAAAATTAAACTGCCAGGCATGAGGCTACCCAGTGAAGGAACCCACGGTTACTTTGTTACTTTGTAACAAGCACTTGTTTATTCTTTTGTAGCATGTTTTTAACTGATCTTGAAGATGCAGGGGGAAATACTGTCTTTAAAAATGTGAATATGGCCTGGCCTGGTGGTGCACACCTTTAATCCCAGCTCTCGGGAGGCAGAGACAGGTGGATCTCTGTGAGTTCAAGGCCAGCCTGGTCTCCATAGTGAGTTCCAGGACAGCTGGGGCTGCAGGGAGACCATCTCAAAAAGCCCCCCCCCCCCAAAAAAAAAGAAAAAAAAAGGGAATATGCTAGGTGATGCCTTTTATCTCAGCACTCAGATACAGAGACGGGTGGATCTCTGTGATATCAAGGCCAGCCTGGGATGGCCTGGTTCCAGGACAGCTCAGGCTACAGAGTGATACCTTGTTTCCAAAAAATTAAAATAATTGGGGCTGGAGATACTACTCAGAGTGCATGGTGGCTAACAGTCATCCATAACTCCAGTTCCTGGGGAATCCAGCACCCTCTTCTGACCTCTGTAGGCAATGTGTGACACAAATGCACTTATACACATGCAGGTATTATACTCATACACATAAAATAAAAATACTAAATAAAATATTTTTAAAATTAAAATAAATGAAAAGATAATATTGTGTCTCTCCTTGGCATGGCTGCCATAAAAGGAAAAGCAGGTTACATGGACCACAGTCTCTGTACTGTCACCCTTTAGCACCCCACCTGTATTTCATGTCACTTGGGTCCCTGAAGCCCTCTCAACCTCTGTCAGTGCAGCCCATCCCTGGGCCGATAGGTCTGCAGAGCCCTGCAGCATCTTGCTGACCAGATGTGCTTTTCATTCTCTCTCCATGCTTGTTGTTTATGGTGGAATTGATCACGTATTCATCACTAGTCCAGCCTTCCCAAGGTTTGTACTTCTTATTTCTTACTGGATTAGGATCCAGGCTGATAGCATTATGCGGCAAACGACACATGGTCCATGTCTTGGATACCCAACACGGAAGCAAAGTACTTTGACTTTGTAACTTTTGTTCTTAGAATTCGATGGACATTTCCCTTTCTGGGTGGATTTGAAATTGAGTTCTATAGGGATTGTGGACTAGATTATGACCCTATGTGTGATAGCTTATATAAAGAAACTCTAATTCTCTTGGGATTATCACACATTCAAGTGATTTTTGATTGATTTCCTTCTTTATAATAGAAGTTTTCCTCTCCTACTTAAGTGAAATGATTTGGAAGCACTCTGTTAATAAAATGTGGGAACAAAGCTTTAAGATTTAGGCAGTCTATTGCTTGTATCGGTGTGATACAGTCGGTTCGTTTCTCTTGGTCCTTAGGTTGCTCCTAATGATGAAGCCGTTGTGACACTGTTGTGTGAATGGGCTGTTAGCTGCAAAAGGTCTGGCAAGCACAGAGCAATGGCCGTGGCCAAACTCTTGGAGAAAAGGCAAGCGGAAATTGAGGCAGAGGTAGGTTTGACTTTCCTTCTACTTATTGAATGCCATAGTTTAAAATGCTGTTGTAGGCAGGCACAATGGCTCATGCTTTTAATCCCAGAACTCAGGAGGCTAAGGCAGGTGGATCTCTGTGGTCCCAGGATAGCTTGGTCTACATAGTGAGTTCCAGGCCAGCCAGGACTACATAGAATGAGACCCTGTCTCAAAAAATTAAATAAATAAAAAGACAAACTAAATTAAATTACTGTTGTGAGAAGAATCCTTTCTTCTGACCTTGTTATATCCAGCCTTTTTCTTTTGGGAAGGGGAAGGTATACCAGTTCTTCTAAGGAGGACTCCATAGTAAGTGCCTCTCTAAGTAGACTCAGCCAATAATTTGTTCTAGACTAATTAAGAAATACATCTTTTAAAATTAAACTTTAACATCTGGTTAGAACAGTTCTCATTTTGTGAGACTGAGATTCATAGAACACATAAGCATACACAACCCTGTATACAGTATAGCCAGCTTTATGAAGTTTTGAAGCCACATCATATATTAGCAGATTTGGAAATATTTTCTAGAGGCAGTTTTGATTAGAGAGCATAAATACCAATTTGAATTATTTTTTGAGATTATGTTTTAGTCCTAAACAGCTATTAAAGCCTCAGACTTGTATTATAAAAGATAAAAAAGGATTACTAACATTCATCGACATTAGTTTCTGTGAAAGGGAATTGTCTGAGTGAGCTTTCTTAATGTAAACATCAGCAGGGACAGCCGCAGTGGAGGTGTGCCTGATCTGATGAGGCCCCAGCATGCCTCGCCTTGGTGGCTTCCTGGCCTCCTACGCTACTCTGTTCCGTCTTACCCTCCACTGCCCTCTACATAGCATCCTGAGTGGTCTTTTTGAAGCATATGTGGATCACAGTTTCCCCTAACTAGAAGTGGCAGAGCTTTCTACTGCTCACAGAGACCCCTTGCCTGGCCCCACCTGCCTTTCTCATAGCATTTTGTACAGTTGTTTCCTGGCTGTTGTCTAATCTTGGTCTTTCTGTCCCTCCTCCGTATACAACTTACTTTGATTTGGGGGCTTGGCTCTTGCTGTTCCTTCTGGGGTGACAGGTTCTGAAAGTGAGCATCTCCACGCCCATTGTCTCTCTGGAACATTCCTACTTCAGGAAGTGTCACTTCTGTGGAACATCGTTTGACAACATGTTGCCTTCCCAGCGCTGGAGTCTCCCATCACCCGTGATCTGAAGTTGACAGCAGTCAGCCCCAGCGCCTCTTCCTCACATCACTGTGTTTTACTTTCGGCATTACAGTCCAAGTGAATAGATAATTTGCTTATTATTTAATGTCTGCCTTCCTTTTAGGATGTGAACTTGACGTGGAGACATTTGCAAACAGAGGACAGATTGAATCATTGATATCTTAATATATATTCTTAATACAATTAATACCCCAATTCAAGACTAAGTGGTCAAAATGGGAAAGGTTCAAAGAGATACCAAAAATAGAAATGAAGATTCTGGTTACTTCTAAACCATTTCATTTCCTGTCTTTTAGTAAATTCCAGGTTTAGAAATATAAAAGTTAAGTAGTTTCATTAGATGTGTTTTGTGAACCACAGAGACTCCTGGAGACCCTAAAAAAATCTTAGTGGTGAAGTGTGATAAACAAGCAAAAGAATGTTCTTGGAAGAACTGTTCACTTTCTCATTTAACACCCCCTAACACACATTCATAAATACATCCTCCTGACAGACACACAGGAAACAAAGTAATCAGATCCAGTAACATGTGCCAGATAGTTCAGGATAACATAAGAAGAAAAAGAACCTCTGTTTTCGGCAGTTTTGTATACAAATATGGAATATTTTATTGTACAGTGCAATACACCCATTTGGGTACTATTAAAGTACGAGACAAAATTTATGGTTTACATTAATTTTCTTCTAGGTGTTCTCTAAATTCAGTTGAATTGTTATGAGGTGGTTTCCTCTAACTATTAGAAATTATATTCACTATGATGCATGGTCTTCAGATAGTGCAGAAATCTCAATTTCATGTTTTATCTAAGAGCTCAAATGTTAATAAAGCCAGCCAACTCATCACCTGTTATAACTCCTCATCCTCTGTGACTCACTGTGCTTGTCTTTTTAACCTGTAGCGGTGTGGTGAATCAGAAGTCCTAGATGAGAAGGAGTCTATTTCTTCGGCCTCTCTAGCTGGATCTAGTTTGCCTGTTTTTCAGAATGTTCTGCTAAGGTTTTTAGATACACAGGCTCCCTCACTGTGTAAGTAAAGAAGACCTTTTGCCTCTCTGTCTCTGTCTCTGTCTCTGTCTCTGTCTCTGTCTCTGTCTCCGTCTCCGTCTCCCTCCCCCCCCCCCCCCCCCCGTCTCCCTCTTGCTCTCTTTTTTTCTGTTAGCTGATTTTTCTTTCTTCTTTGAATCCTAACTAAAATTTTTGGCACTGAATATAATCTCTTTTACTGAACAAATTTTAGTAGTTTTTTTAAAATTATTGAGCAAGATTAGTAATTTTTAAAATAATTGAAGTATCCAAAAACTTTTAAAATTTTAAATTAAGTCACCTCCTTTTTTATATTTGGTGCACTAATTTCTCTTTCTTCAGTCTTTCTTACCCAAATGGAGGAAGTAAGGGCCTGTCATAGCCAACTATGTATTGTGATTACAGGTTTTTGCTTTTGGAGCTGTTTTCTGACCTTCTGATTTTCTAGCTCTCACAGTTAAAAAGGTTCATGGTACAACCAGAGCCTGCAGGATGGCAGGGACCATGGCTGTAGATTCACCAGAAGTTACCAGCATATTTCCCTGCACTATTTTTTCCCTTATTTTATTAATTGGGAGTTGAGGGTTTGTGGAATAAACAACCGCCTTCTCGGTGTGTATGAAGGGTAAACACTTGTGAAAAGTCATTTGTGTGAGCAATGTTAGTTCACCGTTAGTCTGAGATTTTCAAATGAGAAAATACAGCAGAGAGAGACTTCTGGTAGACATAGCACAAAACAGCCTCAGCAAAGTAAAACGTGATAGATGGAGGTCAAGGTAGGGCGGGGAAGGCAGGAGTTTATGGAAAGGAAAGAGATGAAGAAGTATCTACTATTGCAGCTATGTCTTGTGAGGAAGCACAGTGCTTGGGGCTGAGTGAGGCCTGATAGGAGGGTCTCTGGAAAAAGTGGCTTTCTTTTTATTATCCGGAGACCTTCCGGGCTTAGGCAAAGCAAGGTTGGAGTCAGGCAGGTGGTTGAACTATAGGGATCCACAATACATGAAAGGGAAGTACACAGATGAGAGGTCAGAGTAGATGGCTGGTTGGAGAAAGCTTACTGCCAGGCAGGGGAGCTGGCTGTCTGAGGAGAGACTGCTTGTCACTGAGTGTGAGGAGACACTCGGGCGAGGTCTAGAGAACTGAGTTTACTGCTCTTCAAACGGGTCTCTGTGTTTCCCATTGCTGTTTGTGAATATGATATTGCTAGGAATTGAGCTTTGTAGGATTTAGCCTTAAGATTTTTAAGCTTATTCCAGAGATGTAGCTCTAGAATGCAGTTACAGTACTGGAAATCATACTGTGAGTTAATATATGGGTTATGAATTAAAGAAAAAAAAGACTCTAGAGTTGGCTACTGGTCTTTTGTTTTGTCTTTTTCTTTTCAGTGACTCTGTATTAGTCACTTTTCTCATTGTTGTGATGAAATTTATGACAAAAGCAACTGAAGGAAGGGAGTGTTTATCTTGGCTCGTGAGGGTTAGTTCAGCATGGTAGGGAAGTCGTGGCAGTAGGTGCTGGAGGTGACTGGTTATACAGCATCCACACCCAGGAAGCAGAGCCTAAGGCATGCTGGGGTTCAGCTCACTTCTTTTTAAATTTGGCCCAAGGCCCCAGCAAATGAAATGGTGCCACTTACATTTAGGGTGGGTCTTCCTGTTTCATCCCAATTTGGAAACTCCCTAACAGACACGTACAGAGCTTTTCTTCCGCGATGATTCTAAATCTCATCTAGTTTGCAATCGAGACTAATGATCACAGGATCCCTCCCTGTCCCTGTATCATTTAAGTTGTTCTATTTTGAAGTCTCCTTTGAAATAGTACACATACATACACCAAAGATGCAGTCCCCACAGAGCATTTAAAGATACTTACAGATTATTTTAGTAATAAAAGCAGAAGAGAATCTAGCCATGCTTTATGCTTGCGTTATGATAAATATGGTCATTTGCTTGTCAGGGACTACTGTCATTAAACTTGAAATTGTGTTCAGTATACTGGCTGCTTACATTACAGTTGGTCAATCTCAGCTTGCCTATCAGGGTTGGAGAGAAGTTTTTGAGTGCTGACTGCTCTTGCAGAAGACCTGGGTATGATTACCCAGCACCCACATTGGGTGGCTCACAACCACCTGCACCTCTAGCTCCAGGTTGTCCAGTGCCCTCTTCTGGCATCACAGGCACCTGTATGCATGTGGTGCACATAAGTTCACTCAGGCATATACACATATACTTAAAAAAAAATTCTTGTCAGCTCTGTCCAAAAGGTGAATGCCTCAGTAAATGTTGGGATAAATTCTTTTTTTAAAAAAATATACCTTTTATTAATTTTTTCTTTGACCATTTCGTACCTGCATCCTGCTTCCTCTGACCTTCCACCCTTTCCTACCACCCCTCCCCGATTCCTGTCAGTTTTGCAGTTTTTAAAAAGAAACATCGATTGTAAAAGGTATTGAAAATATTCTTCTTTCTTAAATACTTTATTTATTATTTTTATTTTATGTGTATGTGTGTATTGCCTGCATGCAGGTAAGTGCACTTGTGTTGTACAATGCCGTGGAGGACAGAAGAGGCTGTTGGATCCTCTCAAACTGGAGTTACAGACAGTTGTTTGCTGTCATGTGGGTGCTGGAATTTGAACCCAGGTCTTCTGCAAGTACAATCAGTGTTCTTAACAGCTGAGCCATATCTCTACCCCCCGCCCCAAATATTCTTAAACCTTCTAAATGTTTGTCTGTTTTTCTGTCAAATGACCAAGGAATTTCTAATTGAATTTGTTTCTTGCCTAGCGGACCCAAATAGTGAATGTGAAAAGGTGGAATTTGTGAACCTGGTGCTGCTCTTCTGTGAGTTCATTCGCCATGACGTCTTCTCCCATGATGCATACATGTGCACCCTCATCTCTCGAGGAGACTTGTCAGTCACTGCCTCTTCTGGGTTGCGGTCCCCAGCAGGGGAGAATGCTGACGAACACTATTCAAAGGACCATGATATGAAAATGGAGGTATGATCCTGAGGGTGATACACCCTCCCCCACAGTAAACTCCACAGTGGGATCCAGTTTCACATGGGCAATTTGATGATGGAAAGGCAACTGAATTTTAGTTATGTTCTCTTTCTAGAAAGTTCCTTTATCTCTGTTCTTAACTCAGAAAGGACATTTAGACTATGTGTCTTCCAGAATTTTCTTTTTGTATAGTTGATGAAAAGATATGACTGGCTGTGATTCTTTTCATGGGATTACAATGGTACACTTCTAGTTATAGATGAATATAGCTTGAAGTTTTCTTCTAATTTTGTGTATCGCAAGTGAGTGAGTTTTGACATCAAACTAAGGAGCATCTTTCCCCTATGTACTGGTTATTTTGTATACTACTGTTTTACACATAATGGGGAACTCTTTGTTGTTAATAACACATCACATTTTCTTTTCAATTCAAAACTTGATCTCTGTTCCTTAAATGTGGAAGAACTTTTATTTGCAGCAAATTATTTTATGCTGTTGCTGCCACTGTGTGATTTTTCTGCCAGGTGTGAATATTTTGGACAGTCTTCCAGATACGTACATTTTCGGTATAAAAAGATTTAGGAAACAATGGGAACGGTAGACAGTGATGAGCCCCTTTAACAGTCCTCGAAATACAGTTTCATGTTGGTTATGTAGTGTGAGCGTATCAGATACTGCTAAGATATGTTTAAAATTGTGGCCGTATTTGTAGTTTTTAAAGCATTCTTTTCTGTTCTTGGATATTTAAGTATCTTTGGTTTCCATGACTAGACAGTCCCATGAAAGAAATTATAGCCAGTTTGTGTTTAAACAGGAAGTCTATGTGTCTTCCTTTAAAATGCCGTGAGAGTTACAACTTTCTTATCATGAGTGGAAAGTACATGACTGTTCAAAGCAATACATATCTTCATGGTGCCTTCAGCTTTTAGAGAAAATGAAGAGACAGTGGGAATGATTTATACGATGTTGAAAGCTTTGCTGTCAGATACCAGCTTGTGTTCCTTAAGCTACAACATTTACAACGTGACTTTCTTTCTCTGGCAATGATCAGGAACAGAACATTATGGCGCATATGGGCCTTGGCTCAGGAACCGCTCACATTTTTGATGAAGTAGACAAGAATGACTTTAAAAGTGACTTTGGTTCGGAGTTTCCAGTAGGTTCAACCTTTGGCTCTTACTGATAATTAGTCTACCACTTCCCACCTCAGCTTGGCTCCATCCTTTTATTTCTCGCCCCATGTATCAGAGTGACCCACACCCTTGTGATGTGCATGTAATCTTGCCATTGTCCGCTCCGAGTCACCGCGATCGTCTGTGCTTGTACCTCAGGCCCCCCTCACTTTGATCGTTTGCTCCTTTGTAAAGCTAACAGTCCTCTGCGCTTACTGGCTATGATTCTTGTTCATTTTGAGATGCTCATCTCTGAGGAATGCCTGAATGTTCTTTCATTATCATAATCTATGCATATTTTGAGCCTCTAAAGAATAGGTTTATGGCTCATTCACTTTTCTGCTCTTTTGTCAGAATAATTGTAATGTTTTTCATGAATCTTTGTAAGTGTTTATAAAAGTGTTGTCTGGGGTGCAGATTAAAGCCTTGATGTTTGTTATTGATTAATATTTTAATTATTGTTTTGTATGTTTTTGAGGACAATACTTATCTCTAAGTTTTGTTACATCACTGGTCCTCTGGTTGGTGTAGGCATATTTTTCCCTCTGTATATGGGTTTTATTTTCCTATTTTCTCAAGGGGGTATGAT